ACCACCAGCAGCCCCGCGGGGCGCGGGCCAGGCAGAAGCGCCCCCCCTGGGAGATCACGAAGCAGCAGCGTCAGGACAGCGAGCTCGCCGCCTTGCGCAAGCAGGCCGACGAGCTCACCGCAGCCAAGACGAAAGCCAAGCTCGAGGCCCTCAGCGACCTCAAGGCCGAGCTCAAGAAGCTCGCAGGCGGGGAGCAAGCGGCGAGCTGCGTCGACGCCGTCGAAGCCAAGTGCACCGAGCCTCCGAAGCCGAAGAGCATCACCGCGCTGCAGGGCCAGAGGAACAAGCTCCAGGGCCAGCACCAGAAGGCAGTCTTCAGGGCTCAGGAGCTCGAGGGCCAGAGGGCAAAGCTCGACAAGCAGATCAGCGACGCCGAGAAGCACGCCACAGAGCTCAAGGCCAAGCTAGAGTCCGCCGACGCCGAGATCGAGCACCGCCACGCCGCGGGGTGTCTCGGGGACGGGCTCGAGGGTTTGGCCAAGGTGCTCGGGCAGTTCAAGTCCACGGCGGTCGACAGCCAGGCCGTCCCCCAGGGCCCCCCCAGCTCCAGGAGATCGTCAAGGAGTGGCAGGAGAACCTCGACACGACTGCCGCCCCCGGAGCACCGGCTGGCGCTTCTGCTGGCAGCAGTGGCGGGGTTGGGCTGCGCGCGCAGATGGCGCGGCAGCTGGAGGTGGCGAGCCAGCCCCAGTCTCCGACGAGCTCGTCGATAGCCTCATGGCAGAAGCACCAGAAGGCGAGGGGGAGGAGCAGCGCCGCAAGCGCATCTGCGACCTCCTCAAGAAGCACGCCAAGAAGCAGCGCGTTCGCTAGCCTCTGGGTTTACACGATCAACGCAAACACCGAGAAGGGCTACAGGTCCTTCCTCGACTGGCTGGATGGCGTCTATCCATGGCGAAGGGCCCGCGCAAAGGCCAGCCGCCGACATCACCTTCGTTCAGGAGACAAGGATTCGCGTAGGAGGCCGCGAGGGGCTTCAGCGGTGGCATTGGAAGCGCGGCTTCGATCTCGACCTTGCAGCAGGGCCCAGCACAGGCGATGGCCCACGGGCCGTCTCAGGAGGAGTAGGCATCGGTGTTCGGCAACAGCTTGCGGTCACCATGCTAGCCACCAAGTGCCTCCAACCCCACCGCGTGCTCAGTCGGACGGTCAAACTTGGAGACAGGCTCGCCATCGACCTCGCGTCCGTTTACCTCCGCGACGGCGAAGGCATGAGCGAGGCCAACGGAGACATCCCCTGGGACCTTGCAGCGCGGCTCAGGGTAGCCCAACGGTCCTCGGTCCTCGCGGGGGACTTCAACATGGGCCCACTCCAGGCGGCGGCGTGGGCCACGTCGGCTGGACGCGACGTGCTACACACCGGTGTTGCGACGTGCAGGGCGGGCGCCCTCGCAGAGCTCGACTTCGCGGTCATCGCAGACGAGCTCCAGCCTTTCGTCTTCAGCCACGGGCCTGTCCCGGGGGCCCCTATCGGCCCACGCAGCCCAGTTCTTCTAGAGCTCCGAGGTCTGCATGCCGACGCTACAGTTCAGCAGCTACACAGGACGGCGCGTCTCCCCTTCGACAAGGCGATCGGCTGCTTCCCCAGGGCCCCGCTGCCAGACTCGTCACGGGGAGAGGGGGCACCTCCCCCCTGCCCGAAGGCTGCCATGAAGGAATGGCTGCGACATGATGAGGCCCACCTCCCCCCGCCCTTCGACCTGCACGGCGAGGGGGCCGAGAAGTTCTCGGGCAGGGCCGAGGGCGCGCGCTTCGCCAATGTCCCGCTGGCAGATGCTATCCGCCGCCGCTGGGCGCAGCTCAGCTCGCGAGCCACCCGTGCATGGGGCGGCCTGGTCAGCTCGCTGCAGCGCACCGACCTGCTGGCGGCGCGTGGGGACGACAGTCACAGCCTACACAGCCATCGCAGCCGCCTCGGCACGATCAGCATTCCCGACTACGACGGCAGCGAGGCCCCTCTCAGCAGATGCGAGCTGCCCAAGGCCGCCACCTCGAGCGACGCTGGCCTTCGGAGGAGGCCCATCGAGCACGCGCGGGCGCGGCGGCAGGCCAGCCGGCGCAGCGACGCAGCAGCGGCCTGCAAGCAGTGGCAGGCATGGGCAAAGGGCTCACCCACTGGCGGAGGGAAGCTTGCCCACCGCTTCTCTAAGCAGGGCCGCTGCCGACGGCCGCCCAGGTCAGCGCCGACGACGACGACGACCTCGCCATCCCCGTCAACGGCGACGAGGCAGTGGAGCACCGCTTCAAGGAGTGGCTGCCCCTCTGGTGCGACACGCGTCGCAGGGGAGGGCTAGAGGAGGCAGCCAGCTGGAATGCCCCAGGGCAGCTGCCCAACCTCGAGGCCGACGACCTCAGGTTCTTGCTCAAGGTACGGTCGCTGGGCAGGCTTGGGATGGGATCAGCTACATCCGCGACACTTGCTACTCCTAGACGATTCCTTCCTGCACGGGATTATCGCCGCCCAGGCCAGCTGGGAGGACACCCCCTCGGCCTACCTCGA